TAATTAATTAATTATTAATTAGGTAACCTGTAGAACAATTATTTATTATATTTAATAAAGGATTTTTGTACAGGTAATTCAATATATAATTAGATAAAATTTCCTTTCAAATTTAAAAACTTTTACTTGTCTTGGATAAGAATTAATATGATTAACGTTTTATGAAATAAATTTTAGAATTATTTTTTAATTGGTTTCTTTCTTAATTGCTTCGAAATGAGACGAATAGAGTAAGCCTCATGATTAGTTTGTTTTTTATCTTATAATTAACTCACGAATTATATGAAATATAAAAATTGATTTTTTGCATAAATCTATATTCAGTAAATAGATATTTTTAAAATAAATAATTAAAAAGAAACATATTACAGTAGAGCGTCGATTATCCGAATCAATTGGGGACTGGGGTTGTTCGGAAGATCGATATTTCGGATAACCGATTATGTACGAAAAAATATATTAATTTATCCCATCTTGACATTTTTCTCCGTTGCGTGTCGCTTCGCGTTGAATTTTCGTCGATGTTAAGCCTAACGAAGACTATTGTATCATTAAAAATTATTTTTTTATTTTGTACGAACAAAATAAATAGGCCTATATTGAAAAATATAAAAACAATAAAAAATTATACTTCAGAAGTTAATTTGGTATCAAAAACGTAAAATATTTGAGTGGCCCAACACATAGCAAAAGATTGCAGCGCCACAGCACTGGCGAAAATTTAAATTTGTCGACTGGAATTCTTTCGGATGATTGACTTTCGGATAATCGACGCTCTATTGTATATACATAAATACATTTTGTATACATCTAAATGGTTTTAAATATATAATTTATTAAAATATAACTCTAATAATGTTTCGAATAGGTTTATAATAAAAATTATTTTATTAATTTGTTTAATGAATAATAAAAATATGCAAGTACATTATGAAAATGCTAGCTTTAATAGTTTTTTTATTTAGTTTTTTATTTTTTTAATATTTAAAATCATGTATTCTAAGGTAATTTTAAACTTCAAATGTGATTCGTTGTGTATTAAAATAAAATATTTTCAGGAAAGTTTAATAATAAATTTTGTAAATTGCTAAATCAGGAAATGGGATTTATAAATAATTAATAGAATTAGTGGTCATATAAGGTGAAAATTTTATTGAATTTGCATTAAGTTTTTCTTATCCGTTTAACTAGGCTCCCCCAAGCTTAAATCCTGAGTGAGCCACTACCATTGATAATAGTGAATAAAGGTACAGCGCCGTTTTCGGCAGTTAATTACAAATAATAATTTTAATTAACTTATAAGTTTTGTTTTTCTTTAAAATACAGTATAATTTATCGGTAATAAAAAAGGCCTATTAAATAATACTGCAATACTACAAACATTTTTCGTAATAACTCAATTATTGGAAGAAAACACATTATTTCAAAACTGCAGTTTGAGAAAATCGTGGTTGATAAGGATTTCTATACTTTATTTACCAATTTTATTAAATATTTTAACACTATACTCACCTTTATACCTTATAATTTATCCAGTAACGACTTGCTGTTATTAAATATATTATAAAGAGATCTCTTTTTCATAAAAGAGAACGGCAATTGTAAAGGTTGGCATAAGAGTAAAATGTATCAAAATGAATTATAAATCAATTTTCTTAACAAAAAACCAATTACCGAATAATAAATAAATAAATAGCAAGTTGATAGATAGATATAGAACAT